AATAGATCTTCATGTAAATGAAACTCATGATCAGGTTAGGGGTTAAAAATCTAAACAATGTAGCAAATTGCATTTTTTACATTGGAATAATCTTTGGTAATTAATTTATAGTTGGGGTGACTTTGGTTCATGGGGTCATATAGGTTTCAGGTGTACATTTCTATGTAAATAATATATATATTGCATTGTGTGCCCACCACTCAAAGTCAAATCATCTTCTGCCACCACACGTTTAGCCCCTTACCCTTAACTCACCCCCTCCCTTGCATCTGGTAGCCACCATGCTGTTTGTTGTCTGTCTGTATCATACATAGCAGCAACTTGTTTTTGCGGCTACATTACATAATTTCCCCCCATCTTTTCCAAACTCCAGTTCAAAGCCCCTGTAATGAAATGAAATAACAGAGTGCATCACCCATAGTATTATTTATACAAACTTTGTTCATTGATGGGTGTGTGCGAGTAAGATTGCAATATAAAATGGATTCTTATCGTTGTCATAGTAAAAAAAAATGTTTGAAAGCCCTGTTATCATATTTGCCAGAAATACCAGTAAGGCTTTAAGGAAGGATATACACAACCAAAGGTTTGTAACATGATCCAATGGGTTGCGAGAAGAAAATATTAGAACCTCTATTTCTCTTTTTTTTAGTGTAAAAATTAGGAAAGGGATATTTTGTATCTGTGTTTTAGAAAATATACAGGGTTCGAAGAAGTTAGGCATTTTATTATGTACTTTCAATTAAATGAACTTGCACAAAATGGACAGGCCCCTAAAAAAAGATCCTGCCAAGAAACCAAGGACTTCAAAATAGGAAGAGCAGGTACAGTGAGAAATAGCTGCATTGCCAGTCCTCCTACACCTGGTGTTTTTTGACCATGTTATAGTTAAAAACAAATGGAAATTTGCCAAGAAGTCATGCAAAACTAAACACACACACACACACACACACACACACACACACACCCGCACACAGAACCCCCCACAAAGTTATCAAGAAAACTTCTCAGAATATAAATTTGTACTCAGTACCATCCTTAACAATAAAATTTTTCTTGAATCATATATAGTACCTTCAGATATTAGCAAAAAAGTAGCACGTAGCCATGGCATAAAGATGTGCAAGGTATTTAAAAATTAACAAATATTTTATTTTAAAAAGCCTACATGATTTTACCAAGTTTAAATTATTTAACGCATGATTCCTATTTTATAAAACTTCATCAAATGTTATGCTAAAGGTTTAAAGTCTGAGGTTTTTCACTAATAGCAGAAGACAAAAAGCCACACAGTGTTGGAGAACCATTCGCTTTTCCTATTGTAGCAACTAAAAGTGGCCAAGGCAACAAGTGGGCAACATGAAGAAAAACTAAAATGTATTCTTTTGTGAGCAAGTACTCATATTACTGGAATACACATAGAAAATAGTGGTTAAAATGAAAAAAAAACATATTAGAATAAATTACACAGCTTTGAACAAATGCTAACTATATCATTAGATGAAAGTATACAAATGTTTCTAACATGTTACAGCAGTTTTTTTAAAAATATACTTTATTGATTCTTTACAGAGAGGAAGGAAGAGGGATAGAGAGCTAGAAACATCAATGAGAGAGAAACATCGATCAGCTGCCTCCTGCACACCCTCTACTGGGGATGTGCCCGCAACCAAGGTACATGCTCTTGACCGGAATCGAACCCAGAACCCTTCAGTCCACAGGCCGACGCTCTATCCACTGAGCCAAACCGATCAGGGCCACAGTTATTTCTCTTTGAAAAATTAAGTCAACAACTTAAAATACAGTAGACAGTATATCCGTAATGCAATACATAATTCACAATGGGGAAAAAAGTGAAAATATATAGATGTGCTGATATAAAAATAAAATCCAAAATTCTTTAAAAAGCATATATATAGAAAAATTGAGAATTAAATAAAACTTCATATGAAAATACTTGTTAATATTGAGAAGAAAATATAAGAAATATAAAACTGCTAATTACACCAATTTTAATCGTACATTTGGGATCTGGGGAAAGGATGACTGGGACTCTGTGGGCTGAACTTTATTGCAGACTGTCAGGACTATTAATTTCACTCCTACATCCCCACCTTAAAGAGGAACCATGGTGACATGTAAGGTCTCAGTTATAACATCAATTAAGACCCTTTGTCAAGTAGTACTCAAAATACTTGGGTGTTCACCTTTCCTCAGTATATATCACCCAAGTAAATGGCCCTGCGTCTCTTTGGGACAGAATGGGAGAATCATTGGAGTATATACTTCTGTGGTCTTCTGGGGTCCTTCTTCCTAGGAACCTGGACTCTTTTTAATCAATGATTCCAAATCTGAAAGTCTGCTCAGGTCTTAGAAATACACAGGGGATTGTGACGTTTTATCGGGGATAACTGCCCTCAGTCTTCTTACTTTTTTTGACTATAGATGCCAAGTAGCATGCTTGGTGGCTCTCCTATTTTTTGATCAGAGGTGTATCATTCTCCGTGAAGCAGGTCTATAGCTCCTCGTGGGCCAAGCCCCACTGGATGCCCCTCTGACCATCCTAGTAATTGTGGCCTGCTGGCTTCTGGGGGTCCAGTGGTACCCCCAGGCCTTTATAACTTTGGAGACTATAATGGCATAATGAGCCCAATCTAGGACTGCCTCTGTTACGGTCAGCCTGGCTGCAGAGGAGCCACCACTGAGCTACTTAGTAATGTGGGTGCCCCCCTCACCAGCATGGCTTTGGTGAATGATGTATCCTCTGGACCAGGGGTCCTCAAACTTTTTAAACAGGGGGCCAGTTCACTGTCCCTCAGACCGTTGGAGGGCCGGACTATAGTTTAAAAAAAAACTATGAACAAATTCCTATGCACACTGCACATATCTCATTTTGAAGTAAAAAAAACGGGAACAAATACAATATTTGTATTTGCATGTGGCCCGCAGGCCGTAGTTTGAGGACCCCTGCCTGGACTCTCTCATGGAATGTAATCCCCTGGTGGGTCTTCTGGCTGCACAGAAAACATTCATTCCAGCTCACCCACCTCCCTAAGGTTTTCCATTCCTTCCTCCACCACTGACAAGGCACCTCAGGCATTTCTGCTTTGCTTGGCATTGGCTGACATCTTTTCCAGGCTTCTAGGACCACTATAGCAGCTGCCAGGTATTAAGTCTCATTTCCAAAAAAGTGTGTTCACCTTTAAAATATTTGCTAACCCACAAACTCATTCCGTTAATACCAGCAATTTCCTAAGCGAAAACAACTTTGTATTCACCCCCGTAAAATAGTAGGTTGTTAGAAACAACAGGGGAAAAACCCAAAGCCACAACAGTAATTTCAAAGGCATCATTTGTAACGTTCCCTCAAATTACCTTGTCAAGCTCTTAGACTGATCTGCCTTTGACATAACAGAAGTTAAATACTTAGTACGGTTTGAAACGGAAACAAAACCATTAATTCCTTGCCTCTTTGTATTTTGTAAATGTGTACAGCACGCATGTCAAATTCAAAGGCCAACACTGGCCAAATAAACGAGGCATGCGGCCGGTGGGCTGGGAGTTTGACATGCTTGGTTCCACTGCAAAATACAAGTCAAACGCTTGCAATAAAAGATTGTGTTTGTCTCATGCAGAGCAGCAAGTTAAAAGTGAACAGTCAGGAAGCTGGGTCTGGCTACTTGCATTATATCATTTGAGCAACCAAGGATGCTCTTCCCAAAGGGGCTGCAGAGCCAGGACTACTTGCCTCCTCTAGAGACGGGCAGGATCACTGCAAGTGTCAAAAGATCCGTTTCCCAGCTTCGCCTCTTAGTATCTGTGTGAGCTTGGGCAAGTCATTTACCCGCATTGAACTTCACGTTCTTTACCTGTGGCGGAGTGGTAAAAATAGCTGCCTTTTGGCGTGTGTATGATCACGTTAGGGGAAGGGTAAATAATTCAGTATGACTAGATCATGGAGTGTGTTCAGGGGCCTGGAAAGCAAGGGAGCTGGAACAGAGGGCAGAGTTCGGCAGATGAAAGGCACAGAAGGGACCTAGGACTGTATTCTGCGGGATTTGAATTAGTCAGAAGTGTGTGCTGAACTGTATATTTTTGTTTCAGACCTAAATCTTAATTAAGTTTTTGATGTCTTCATGTCCCCAAGCACACAGCATCTTCGGGTGTCTTTTAGGAAAGTCACAGCTTTTACTTAATTAGGACTGTTTCGATTAGAGTATGTCACCTCTTATGAAGAAGGCAACAAACAGTTGATAAAATTCCAACTATCACCCCCCCCAAAAAAAAAACACCCATGAGGAAGCAAAAACTTAAACAAATATAGTCAAAAATAAAAATAGTAACACTGGGATCAATAATACATAAAATACATGTGATCAAATTCATCACCTGCATCAACAGAAGTCCAAAATTTACATTTTGCAATCTAGACCTGCCCTGTGCAGTATCATAGCTACTAGTGACAAACTCTTGAAACATGGCTAGTGCAAATCGAGAGGTGCTCTACTTGTAACACATACCACAGATTTCAAGCACTTAGTACAAAGAAGTAATATTATTATATTGATTACAAGCTGAATGATATTTTAGAGTAGTGTTGTATAAAACGTATTGTTAGAATTAATCCCACTTTTTTCTTTTATTTTTTTGTTACTCCTCACCCAAGGATATTTTTCCCATTGATTTTTAGAGAGTGGAAGGTAGGAAAGGAGGGAGGGGAAGAGAGAGAGAGAGAGAGCGAGAGAGAGAAACATTGATGTGAGAGAGAGACATGGATTGGATGCCTCCCGCATGCCCCTGACCAGGGCAGGGGATTGAACCTGCAACTCTAACTACAGTGCACCACCAGCCAGGGCTCTTTTACCTTTTTAATGGGGCTACTAGAAAATTAAAACTGCATATGTAGCACACCTTCCATTTTGATAGAAAAGCATTGTTAAGTATTCTATAGCAGTATTAGAAGCAGAAGCAGCATCTCAGTACCATTATTCTCTTTTCAGGTAATTTCTGAAGAATGATTATAGATGCGTGAAAACAGAGGTTATGCTCATCTTTATAATTCCTGGAGCAAGCACAGTATGTATCAAAGGTCATGAGTGTAACTGTTTTTTTTCAGTTGGGAAATCACAATGATGGTCCTACCAAAACCTGAGCCTTGAGCTGACCTTTGTTGTGTGCTGTGATCAGACTTTGTGCTCTGGGTTGGTCCTCAAAGCCGCTCTTCAGAGAGCACAGGTGTATGAGAGAGCAGTGTGAGCAGCTGGGAGTAAAGGAGCCGCCATAAACAAAGTGGGCCCGCACAGCAGCGGCGCCACAGATGGAGAAAGCTGAGACTGCTGTCAAGTAAAAATTCAAATCATTTGCATTCTCTGGTGTTTGTGCTTCACTTTTCCTTATCTATTTTGGAGGACAGAAAATATACAAGGGCCAAGCCCAGGTTCCCTATGGGCAGGAATTTGACAGGTCTTTTTCAGAGAGAAAGGGAGCGAGGGAGAGGGAAACACCAATAATGTGAGAGAATCATTGATCAGCTGTCCCCCACACGTACCCCCCGCCAGGAAAGGAGAGAGAGAGATAGAAACATCAATGATGAGAGAGAATCACCGATCGATTGGCTGCCTCCTGCATGCGCCTCACTGGGATTGAGCCCACAACCTGGGCATGTGCCCTTGATCGGAATTGAACCCGGGGCCCTTCAGTCACAGGTCAACACTCCAGCCAAGGCCAGATCCTTTTCAATGATAAAAGTTTTAGCGTGATTTGGCTTGCTCTTTTACAATTGTGTTAATGACATGCGCTACCATGCAAGGTTCTTATTTTTTTTAAATATTTTAATTGCTAAGTTACAGCATTAAAGGTTTTATATGTGTTGGAAAATATACCTCTTGTGGTTTTTTATTAGATTATCTGTAAATTGCAGAATTGTTTGTAATTGGAGGAGAACAGCAGGTGGTTGCCTATGGAAATCAAACTTCAAAGTCACCCCATATCAACCCATTTTTTCACCATTGTGAGCATGCAGGAGATCATTACTATTGTTCCAAATTTGCTGTTATGTGTTCGGAACATATAATCCCCAAAAGGTAATAAACTGAGTTTCTGGAAATGCTTTTTGACAAAAGTATCTGTCACTTTGGTTGACCTGCTAAAAATGAAAAGAATAGTTTAAGTATCTGAGATGCTGAAGATAATCCTCTGATCACATCAAAATCTCTGTGCAAATCCCTCAGCTGTAAGCAGATTAGATCCTGATTCATTTGTCCTGGCAATAAAGAAAAAAACAAGGGGAAAACTCTCCTTAAAGGTTTACTAGCCCACACCTAAGAATATCTTGTTGTTTTTCTTTGTAAGAACAGAAAGAAAATCTCTTTATCTTTTGTTAAGTGTTGAAGCTGGTAGGATCATGAAACAAACAGCAAACATTAATCGGCAGCCCCGCCTGCCAATTTCACCGTCATCTTCCTGTGATAGATGTAAGTGGTGGGCCAGTTGGTAAATTAATTTGAAAGTGATTTTAAAGAATGCACTCACTGGCTGGTGGATCTCCATAGCAGGCAGACACTCAGGGTTAGAACTTTGTAATTAGCTGCTGGCACAGGACCCTCAGTGATGATTCAGAGCTACATTAAGAGAGAGCTACTGGAGTAATAATAATAATTCAACCCTGAAGGTTCACACAGCTGGCGTGTCAATTTGGCATTGCTGGTCTCCTGAGCTATTAAGTACGTTGGAATTTCTCATGACAAACACAGAGAGAGGGCCTCCCTGCACAGCTCATTCAGGTCTGAAGAGTTTACTGATAATCACACTCCGGGTTCTGTGCCTGCCCCACAGGAGCTACAGCTAATTATCAGGAAAGCCCTTTGCAGCGAATATGCTCAGAGTCAGAATTTCAAAGTACAGGCTTCAACGTGATGGAATGTCAGGAATATTCAATATCAGCCTAATAATACCAGGCATCAACTAATGTAGATGTACGCATATATATTTAGGTATATGATCATTCCCTCACACCAACAAAAGATTTCTTTTCAGTTTTGTGTTGTTTTTTTGTCTCCTCAACTAATTTACACAAGGGGCTCTTGTCTTCACAGTGGCATTATTGAGATTATAATTTCCAAAAAAAGTCACCATTTTTAGCAGTTGTGTTTTGTGAATATGCCCTTGCTGATTTGATCTTCCTC